TGCTGCAGAGGTGAATCAGGTAATGAGACAAACCACCAAGTGCCTCTATAGCAACGTATGAAGACTATGGGTTAGTTGTTAGAAATTAGAAATATGTGCCTTCAGATTGATCTGAAGATCATAATTCTAACTGAAACATGGCTATCCCCAACATTACAGACAATGAAGTGAGCTTGCAAGGCATGGCACTCTGCAAATGTCGCTTCTTGTGTTAGATTAAATACTCTTAGCTGAAGACTTCAATACTCCATCTTTAAACCTCAGCAAACAGGGTACAACTCCCACTGGTTGGTCCCGAGAGACGACTTGGCGCAGCCATTAGAAACTATGGGCTGACTGAGCATGTATGCAGTGTCACTAGATGAAATGAGGAGGGAAAATCCTCAAACTTGGATTATCAATTAACAAATGATCAGCTCCTAGTCGAGGATGTTCACTTCCATACAACAATAGGAAGTAGTGACCATGGCACAGTCGCATCTGACACAGTCGTAAACGAAAAAATTAGGTGGGACGAAAACGAGCTCTACCTTTCCTACACTAGGACAAATTATACGCACTCGACAGATAATCTTCTTCATGCTATAGTAATTGAGGAGTCCAATAGTAGATGATCACTGGCAAGCAGACATCATTCAGAATACCGTACTGATCTCAGACAAACCACGCACCGGGAATGAGAAAAAATTGGGTTAAGCGAGTCAGTGAAGGCTTGCTGTAGGCGGAAAGGAGAGTGTGAGTTCTTTTTGAGGAATACTGATCGTAGTTCTTACTTGGCATTAGAAACAGATGAGATGCCAAGTTTGAAGTGATGGGAAACACTTGCAGATGAAGCTAGGTGCTAGAATACAGCGAGTCCAAAATATATGTTGAGGTTCATGAATTAAAGAACACCTACGAACCAGGGTGTTTGTACCCCTAAAGGTCCGAATGGCGAAGATCTTACCAACCTAGAAATAGCTGAGATCTTCAACACACACTGCACCGATCAGTCTAATCAAGTGCCTACCCGTCCGGTGTATCACCCAAACCTAGTGCCAGCTTACGGTTTAGGGAATTTACAACACACTCCCGACTTTTTACTAAGAAAACTAGATTCGTTGCGCTCAGGAAAGTCATCAGGATGCGATAATATACACCCCATGGTCTTGAAACAGTGAATGAAAGCCCTCATTTTTCCGGTAGTTTTTCTGTTTAAGTATTCACTAGAGCTGCATTAACTCCCAGCTGAACGGAAAGAGACCACTCTCTCTCACTTTCAGAAGAGGAAAGCCTATTACAGACCAATCGCATCGCCACCAATACTATCGAAGGCAATGAAAGGGCTAGTGAATGAACAGATGATGGAGAACATGGATAGGAACAAAATCCTGCATGAAGTTCATCAGTGGTTTCGGAAAGGCAAGTCATGCACATCCAATCTTTCCACAGCATGGAGAAACTAGACATGCTGCTAGGACCAGAAAATACCTATGCATACAACATTTCTCGACTTTACCAAAGCCTTCGACATAATACCTCACGCACTCCTATTTGTGAGGGTTGCGGATATCGGTTTCACTGATCTCGGCTCCCGGAAGTACCTTGAGAATAGTAAGTTTCTCACCAAGGCAAAAAGATTGCACGCGAGATGACGGGTCTCAACATCGAGACTTTCACACGGGACCATCCTGGGTCTACTCCTCTTCCTGATATTCATTAAAGACCGGTTGGACAAAGTTCGCTCCGCTGCACTGATCTACGCAGAAGGTGAAAGATCTTGAGGTCCATTTCAAGCTAAGAGGATTCGAATGAGCTCCAAAAATGCCCTACACCTAGTGAGAAATGGGAAGTGAAAAACGGTTTAAAACTAAACCAGTCGAAATGTCACGTTATGGACACTCTCTCCCACGTCACACAAACGGCTTACAGCGTCAGTGGAAGTCCGCTCCCTATTGTCTCCACAGAGCACGACCTAGGTTTAATAACCATAAAAAGCCTAGATACCAGTTAGATCTCTGTGGGGGACATAGCCGGGGCTAATTCAACTAGATCCAGTAGCCCGAAATTATTCTTAACGCTTTTCAAGACATATGCACGCCCACACATTGAGGTTCAAAACTTCGTCGCACTCCCTCTCCTCAAAACAGCATAAATCTCTTGGATCGACCGCATAGACGAGCAACGAAATGAGTGGTAGGGTTGAAGAACAAAGTGCCAGAAGATTGCTCCCTCGGAGTTACAGGAGAATCATAAGTGGTCTGATCATGGCGTAAAACATATAAGGCATAACAAATCATCTGAAGGTGAGCATCTTACGAAAGCCTTGTCACCACGCCCCTCGAGGAGATCCTCAAAATATCATGCATCAAAGAGCGAACATATAGGTTCGTGCATACGTTTTCCCACTACGAGTTGTTGCAACTTGGATTGCTGTCCCGGCCGACGTGACCACAAACTACTCAAGGATTATCTTGTCCCTCGTGCACCGGCCAGGTTTGACGCCTATCTTGAAACTTGCTAGCAGTCATCCCTGCCAGATCACCAACGTAATCTGTCTCACTTATTATCTCTGTTTCCTCTTCTTTGCATACACTTCTGTCCTCTCGCACAATCTTCACTACCAATTAATAAACTAGATTATCCATCTATTTTCTTAGCGCTGAAATCTTATTACCATTACCATTTTCCCTTTGTTATTCTTTACTTTGAACTGGTTGAGCTGGTAACGTGATACCTAGTGTTATCCAGAAACTCTACTATCAAATCACAGAACATACAAACTCACAAGCAACAGCCGAGTGGCTAGAAACGGTACAGTTCAGTGGCTTGTGCACCATCGACTGCACACTAACAAATGCCTGGAACTAAATCGAAAGAAAAAGAATCGAGTGCAAGGAAAACAATTAATTTTGATACTGGATATTGAACAGCACAATTTTCATACCTGCGCTGTGACCTTGACGCAGTGTTCAAGCTCGTCTTGCTTAACTTATCCGAGCTTTCATTGGTTGCTTATTGACCTTCACATTTCTTTCTCGATCGTGCATTTCATGTGTAAATTAATTGTTTAGTTTGATTCACTGAATATTTTGTTGTTTAATGGGTGGCTTCGTTTTGATTATGTGATTAAGTTGACAACGTAATATCTAGAACTTTATCTAAACGGTAGGAAGTAAGCTCAAATAAACTAGTTACCTTAAACTTGCTGGCAGAAAAGACATTAGGTCAGTGGTTTTGTCGTACAGGATGTATTCGATTGGGACGTTTGACCTAATGTTATGTCTTCAGAGGTGAGGATGAATCAAGTGATCTATGTCAATTCTCGCTGTTCGTGGTTCCATAAGGCCGCTCTCTCGCTTTTATGTATCAACAAAAGGTGATGATACTCTTTAGTTTGGTGGGGAATGCTGCTGACCAATGGCTCTCTGTGGGCATAAGAACAAACTCCGAATCTTTACTTAACCCTATTTCATTGGTCACAATTCGTATCAGTTCTCAGATCTTTGTGTTAATCGCAAGCAGTATGGTAGATAGTTATACTAATCAAAGAGGGTTACGTACCTAAAGTAAAAAGGAAGCGTGTCTGCAATTGTCGCTTTGGAAACTCCACTCTTCACATATTCCAGTGATGATACGACACCGTTTACTCTCACTTTTTGTCACAGTCACATACTTCAATTTTATCAGCAAAACTGATCTAAAACATCCCACTAACAACAGGCTTTAGAATTTCAGATGGTTAGATGCTTCAGCTTTATATGACAATCTTGGGGTCTTGGTACCCTTTCAGCCAGTGGGTTAGCTACAACGTGGAACTTCTTACGTACGTACATCAGTTCAAGTTGTCATCCCACATTAGTACATAGGTGCACTTGTCAATTCAAATCCCGTAATAGTAGAATTATTGGCGGTAATGGAAAAGAATAGGAATCGAAGAAATTATTCAAGAAGTATGTTCCAGGAACTTGGTATTTGCAAGTCGACCCCACTAGTTAGATCTGCAGCTTGTCTCAAGAGGCTTGAATGTCCCTAAAAACTTAGTACACACTTGGTGTCTAAATTATTTGACTACTCTGGAGGTAGTTATGAACCAAATATTAAGCTCTAATCCAGATTCTTGGCAGGTTCTACTACTCTGTAGGCACCTCCGTATTTTTCATTTTATTTAAAACAAACATAGATAACATAGGACACCATAATCTATGTATCACATAATAAAAATGGAGTTGTAGAGATAGAGAAGGAACGGTGAGCATAACAAAAAATGGATAGAAATTAGTGCATGAGAGGAATGATTTGAACAAGAGGAGAAACAGTTCAGTTAGAGAAAATGCAATCAAAAAAATCCTTACGGTTAAAGAATTTACAAATAGTTATGCGAAGAAAATAAAATAAAGTTACAGGAGGGCTCCCACTAGCTTCTATTCTGAGTCGTTTCTGATAAAATCTCAGGCCATTGAGTTGCACCATCTCCTGGACCCTAACCATGGAGTCGTGAAGGACCAACAAGTTTCAGTTCTGCACAGCTTTCATATCGTGACACCATGTCGTTCACTGACCATCTCTCAGCGTTTTCCAACCAGTTCTAGCGTTGGCAAATAATGTACTATGTAGAATTCACTGGGACGACATTCGTAGTGCATGTCTGAGCTGCCGAAATCATTGTCTCAAGACGGTGACACCAACTTAATTATCGTCGCTCTGCATGAACACACCGAAGTCAAGTTACTTCCTAATAAATTTGAAAGTCACCTGTTTTTTTTCTAATGCTTTATTCTTCATCATTTGTGGCTTTTTTACCATTGTTTACTTTGGTTCTCAAGTCTTTAAAAAGATTAACTGTTAGTAAGTTTACAAAAAAGTTTCAAAAGTTTTTTAAGGACCGAAAGGCATAAAAGAGTGTACGATAATCTGACTTCATAGTAATCAGTAACGAATAGACATTTCTTGTACATCTCTCCCTAATTCATATGAATGATATCTTCTGGTATCTTTTTGTTTTCGGATGATGTTAAAATACAGAGAGCTGTTTAAATGAGGAGTGATAAGACAGACTTATTTGAACGTCTTGGTTGAGTGGATTAATCGATGGGCTTTGGATGTGGATGCTAATAAGTGTCGTAGAGCAAGTTGATCACAATGGTTCTCGCAACTACACGATAAGAAAAAAAATCTTAACCTAAGGTTCATGACTTTGAGTATTGTGGCGTCGGTAAAGCATTTAATTCAATATTCATAACTCACACATAGGTAAACTTCAATAAGTTCATATGTTAACTGTACAGTTGTAATAATCATTCCATTTGGTTTTGGATGGCTCTATTTAACATCACGCATTTTTAATTCATCCGCGGTTTAGTTTACTGAGTGAAGCATTCTTAGAATTCTAATTTTCGTAATATTGTTTCCATAAAAGTTTGTGTGACTAAGAGATTTAGCCTATCAAATCAAACTCTTGGAGCGATAGCACTACTTTTGAGTTTTCATTAAATTATCTTTCTTATTTAGGTGCTCATATTATTGAAAACCCTATATGATGATTCTTTCCTCTGAATGGGATCTCGTCCCTTACTCCAACCTTTTAGAGGTTCAGAAAGAGGTGTTTGAATATTTTACAGACTTAAGAAATGTTACAAAATCTTTTTCGCCCCATCCGGATCGTGAATTTGATATTAGTATGCCTGATGTCGATCTCGTATGCACATGGTAAGCATTCATACTCTAATTCGAACCATGTAGTTATCTCAAACCAGAATATGGTATCGTACTCTCTGATGTAAAACTTTTCAAAGAGCTTCTATTAAAAATAAGTTCAGCAGGTGGAAATAAATCTAGTCAACCAAAGAAAAGAGAACTTCATAAACTTCAAGTTCGTAAAGAAATTATATTCGTCTATCTGTACAGAAATTGCATTCACTTATTTTACAGGCTCAGATTTCAGTCCAAAAACAGTTAGAATCAGCCAGTCCTTGTTCACATAATGGTTTAACATTCACAAATGAAAAACACCTGATGGAATTACTAGCAAAAGAACAAACTTCTTATATAAATACTCTGCCTAGCTCTTACAAATTGAAAGATACTACTAAAAGTGTTACAGAATTTAGTACAATAACATTTAATTTTATTGAGTTTCCTCAACGAAATGTAAGTTGTTAAATAACTCAATTTTGAATTCTGATTCTTAAATAGCCTTTTGTTTTTAAGATACCTCCAATTGAAAAGTTCTTTATGAATAAGCAGATCGATATGGCTTATTGCTTTGAAAAGGTAAATCTTTTAATTATTTTGGACATTGTTAATATTAGTCCTGTATATCAATTTGTATGCCTGTGAGTATTTTAAGCGGAAGCCCAGAAAGTCAGTACGGGATATGTGAAAATTACACTAGTTTTCGTTAACGGTTTCATACCATGATCCACTTTTTGTAGAATGTTTACTTTATGTTTGTCATTATATATTTGATTGTTCGTTTTAAATACTGCCTACTCTGATTTGAGATACTGGTGGGATTAGTAGGACTAAAAGACAGGTATGTAGCTAATTGTATCAAGAATTAATTTCAGTTCATAAGCTATTAACTGCTTGAGACTTTAAGTTAAATGGTTCAAGATTGTCCACATTCCTATTCATTACTGGTTGTCTTCTCTCTTTCATAACCTTAATTTATAACAATGCTCAAAAGTTAGCTGTACTTAAAATTCGCATTTCTGCATGTGGATATTTATTTAATGTAGTTATTGGGAACACAAACTGGCCTTATTTAGTTGACGATCACGTTCTAATCTAGATGTAGAAGGATAAGAGATTTTGAAAATTGATTGCTTCATAATTCAGTCGTGAATGTCGTGTAACCTGCAGACTCGTCATTCATGTTGATGCTTAACTCATGGAATTTGATAACATTTACACTAGGACCTAGAAGTCTAGTGGTGGGAATGTGGCTACCAGTTGGATGCAGCAGTCGTATTAGTTAGCTATTGCATACTGCTTAACCGCATTTGAACCATTAGTAGCAAAACGTGTGGGGTCAGTGAAGCAATTTTTAAAGTAAATCACCCGCCAATAAGTAACCTGCAAAGAGAGCTTGGATGCTAAAAGACACCTCGAGGGGCAGTTCAACTGATTTGTTGCCTCTACGATATCAGTTAAACTGTCTTGTCGTTGTTTACCTGTAATTATCTATCCATTTGACGAGGCTGAGATCCGTAAGAATCTCTAAAATCCAAGGTATCACAAGTTATGCGTATTTAATAAAGGTATTTTCGGATTTTTCGTTTTTGGTACTTAACCGTTTTTGTGTTTACAATAGGACCTACCATTTAAAGTCAAAATGACCATCAATACTTATTGCTCGTTACTTTAACTACTACGATTTTCCCAACTTGCAAAGTTTCGCATTGCTCTCTTTACTTCTGAATCTCCTGATACGTCACTGTGAAACATTGTGCTACCTTACCTGTTTAGGTTGTGATGAAGACATCTCACTTTCACATAATAATATTGATTTACATATATAAGCAGATTATTGGTCAGCTAAAAACAACGAGGTATATTAATTAGTTAAATAGTCTGTAAATGACGAAGAATGATAACTGTAGTGTTTACTTGAATTACTTTACTGAGACCAGTTTGAATTTCATATTTGATGATTATCAATTGTAAAAAACCCAAATCTATGCTCTTCTGCTTAATTGACAATCAATACTGTTTGTTTAGAGCAGCTTTACTTTTCTAAGCATTTTATCATTTAATTATCTTTGTATGTAAGTCGAATGTATTCTAGTATAAAACAATGCATTTAACTGTTTATGTTTTTCTAAATTAAAATAGATGCTTCCATTTCCTACTTCAGTGCATAAACAAATTCACCACTCAACTGAATATGTGGTATTGTTAACTGAGAATGTACTGTCTTTTTTATTTCTCTTGAAAGCACTTGTTGGTGTTTATGCACCATTTGATGTGACTGTCGAAAATTCAGGTAATATGTAATGAGTGTTTTAATCCTTTTTGTCTTCATAAGGAATAATAATTATTTTTGGGAAAAACAGAAAACCTTTTTCCTCTGCTTACTTTTTTCATAATTACACGACTATCCAAACACTTAGCATCGCTCTTCTTTAAATAGTTAAAGTCTTTTTATCCTGTTTCATGCTGTATACGACTTCATGTACACGAATAATCCTTCATTTCAGTTTTATAGGGATAGATTAATTACGTTTATCTCAGTTTAAGAGATTCATTCTAATTTTAATCAAGAAAAATGTCGAACTAATCCCAAACTATCAGTCAGTCAGTCAGTCAGTCAGCAACTATATGGAACTTTGTACGCACATACATCAGTTCAAGTCGCCATACAACATTCACACAGAGATGCAGTTGGGAATTCAAATCCAGTAAGTAGATGTATTCGCAGTAATCGGAAAGATTAGGGTTCGAATATATTGTTCAAGAAGTATAATCCAGTGAAATAAATTTAAAAAAGAAAGATTAAGGTCAGATTATAATTCAGGTTAGAATTTGAGAGAACACAAAGAATAGATGCACCTGAGCCATTGCAAACGGTTTTCAGCGCTGTCATTCAAGGTCTCTAACCATCGATTACTATCATCTCGCAGACGCCAACCAGGTAGTTGACACCTACCGCCATAACTCAGTCCACTTGTCGGTGATTTCCATGGATTTGTGCCATGTTTTGGTCTGGCCAGCCTTAGCTTCCTGTCAGTGTACACCACTAAACATCGCTCGTTTAATTCCTCACCACCTTTATATTTTTTTTTTCGTCGAACCCTAATCTCTCCGATTACTACTAATACTTTTACTACATCTACTACTATGGGATTTGAAGTGACAGTTGCATCTCTGTGCCACTGTGGTAAGGCAACTTGAACTGATATACGTACGTACGAAGTTCTGCGTTGTTGTTGACCGACTGACTGATTAACTTGGAACAGCTAATGAATCATCCAAACATTTTGTGACCATTACACACTGATGAAAACTTGTAAAAATATACAGTTCATAACTGCTTATCCAACCAGTCTCTTCAGGGGTATCAGGATAATAGTTATATGACAAAATTATATAATAACTCGCTAATGTAGACTTGTCCTGTTTTAAAAATATCGTGATAGAACAGTTAAAAATTCTAAAATTATTCAAAATTCACATAGTTTTTTTGTTTAATTGTTTCAATGTAGGTGCATCTTTAGATCGGAAGACTATCCGATTTGGAAATATTATATTAAAAAATCCGCTTCCTCCAAGAGTTCGCACTCGTTTGTTTTATGAATCTTTAGTAAAACAACAAATGTGTGTTGAACATAAGTTGAGTGACCAGGTAATTATTGTTAGTTTAGTTCATAATTAGGAAGACTGGTTATTATTTTAAATGATAATTGAACCATTTATCGCTTTTCCTCTTATTTCGAACCAAACTAGTAATTCATTGATTGCAAATCGGGTACAAAATACGACCTCACATATGAGGGCTTATGATACTAAACTGGTCAAATCACAGTAGAAAAAGTACTATTTCAACTTTCGATCCACTGACCAATAGTCGAGTGTATTAATCGTTTAATAGTTAAACTGTAACTATACAGTTTATTTAGTCATAGCTCTACTTAACTTACACTCTAGTATCATGTCTATCATGTGTTATCATTCGGTGAAAAGTGTGGCCTAGATTGATAAACAAATATTCAAACAGTACAGCATAATACTGGGCTTTGGATAAAACAATCAACAAAATTAAAACAAAAGAAAATGTTTAAGTGAATAACAAAGCATACGGTCGTCTACTATCTGTAATGGTTTAATCGGGTAACTGATTTGTAGGGGTTTGTACTTGCACATTGTTGATATTGGCGGCTCTAATTGATTAGTCTCTTTTGGCGTACATGTATGATAAACCGATTACCTAAATATTTCCATTAAGTTGCGTGTTTTCGGTAAGGTTGGATAGTAGACGGCAATAGGATCCTCTTCAACAGCAGACTCTTCTTATATCCGTGTTGATGTTCACACCTGAATTCTAACTAAGCATCTTTCCCTTCAATCGCCCAATGTATTTTCCACTTAGCTTCTGAGTCCAGATAACCACTATCTTGTACAACGGATACAAAATTCTATTGGTAAAGGTTTGTATTTTCCAGTTATTGATTTCACGTTATAATTACAAATACATCCCCGAACTTTACCCTATCAGGCTTCCTAAAAGATTTGTAGTGTGTGTACAAATGTGTTGAACCCACAGGACTTGTTCCAGCCTTTCAACAAATTAATCAACCCACTCTTCTCGAGTTACTCACACGCATTTTGCCTTGTCTATTATTCGTTCATATCCTTCGTTGCTTTTATTTCAGGATGTGTGCATAATTACTTCGCTTATCTGACTATAAATGCCCCATTACATTGGGTTGCCTCATTCGCCTTCTGCACTCCACTTCTTTTAGTCTATACGCTTCTCATTCTCATATCTGTCTGCTAAAATGAATGTATAAAATAAATTCACCCACAAAACCATATTTGGTTTCTTATTACCACCGTCGCACAAATGGGGTTTGCCTCAGTATGATATACGGAAATGGAAGGGAAGATTTATTTCATCGCATACTCGACCGTCCACTTGAAAAAGAGTCAGATCTCTGACCACTAAAGTGGAGAGACCTACGTCGAATTCAACGCAGCCCAGAGAAGATGATAGAAATCACTGCAAATATCAAATTTGGAGTACCTAGTTAATTCTGCTTACCCTGCTTCACGAGATGCCTCTTCCAAGATTGTACATACAGTCAGAAAAGTTGGTTCAATCAAATACTATCGTTATCCACTATTTCAAACTTGACTTTTGAATACAAAATGTGGTATATCCAGTCCTTCATTCTTTCATGGTCATAGCCTTCCTTTCTATCTTCTCTAATCTATCCTTTTTATTTCTACTCCTTTGCAATCATTTTCACAAATGTTAATTTGCCGGTAATACAACTTTTAATTATTCTGTTCTTAATATCTGTCGGTTACACAATTATCTTCACCTTAACATTTTTTTATCAGCTGATTATTGTGTAACTTCCTTTCACTATCTGGTTTTTGTAAAGAATTCATTACAAGATACTTCAAGTTTTTTTATTGTTGAGTATCATTTCATTGTATTATAGACCGCTATTTTTAGCTACTGGAACTTACTGCAAATACGATTTTCCAGCTGCTGTGGACGTTAGATCCACAGAGCTCACTTGGAAAAGGTCCTAATTCTGGATTTTTTATGTTTTCGCGCATAACTTGTTTAGTTGACCTTCATCTTACATTTCGCACTCGAAAAATCCTTGGCTGTCATTGGTCGATGGATTATTTTTTGTGGCTCTTCCAAGGACGTTTCTATCACGTATAAATAAGCTCGATTTATGTGCTTGTTAAGCTCGTATTTCTGGGTGCTTGTAGAATACACTTTCTACGCCTTATCAAGACTTCTTGATATAATTAGCCGGACCGGGGACAACGGATTAGAATGGCCTATCATGTCACTGCATCATTTGTCTTCGTTCCGTTTACCGAGTAAGGTGAACTCGTAATAGTTTCAAGCATATCAATTGACGAGCATATCACCAGCCTAAATAAAATTTTCTTCAGCGAACTGTTTTTATTCTTCTTCAATGATACATTGGATCTCTTTTGTTATTTAAATAAAGAAATGTTAGCCTTTTTTGAATTCCGTTAAAGATCTACAAATATATAATTTATTTTACATTGTGTTAATTGCTCTTTTTCACTTATTTTCTCTTTTAGGACCTATTAAAGAGTGGCTCCACTATAAACACAGATGTAGAAAAAATGGACATATCTAGTTCACGTACGCTTCGATCATATACCAAAGCGCAAGAATATGATTTATCCACCAGTAAATTGGATCTTACTGAAGAGTTAAATGATACTGATGATGAATTGATAATTGATTTAGATGGGCCAGAGAGTAATGATCATAAGTAGGCTATATACATATATATATATATATATATATATATATATATATATATATCACGTTTTGTCACGCTTAATTACTTTGTTTTATCTGATTTCATGAAGCTGGACTAATATTTTGTTAACATATCTCAGGGTAACGAAAATATTAAATTGTGCTTTCACCCTTCACTATACTTGATATGATCACTTTTCAATTAACTACACATATACTTTCGGTGTAGAAATCTTTGGGTTGGATTCCAGTTTGTGTATTCTATTTACCGCACTTCTGACATTACAATTTCTATGTTGCAGTGCAGATTTCTTTTACAGTACCTTCAAAATTCTGTACACTACTATGTTGACCTATTCGATTAGAGAGTATATGGTACTTTATGCCACATTATATCCTGAACCTTGTAAACCTATACTACTGTTGTTTTGCGAATGTATATATACAACATGCATATTATCATCTAATCAAGTGTAATTTTAGTGAAGAGTGAGCGAGAGAGTTTACTATGCCTGAAAGCAAAATACTGATGGTTATTCTTCACATTTGTTTCTTCATTGTTAAACCAATTATTTCATTTTATAATTTTATTCCAGCTCTAAACAATTGGATTCTTCGATTTCCACTCCCGGAAACATAGCCAATTTTTGTACAGTTGTAGAAAAATCTACTGTGAAACAACCGTGCAATATAAATAGCCCTTCTCTAATTGACTTTTCAAGTGCACCAGCTTCACCTACTGACGAGATACCTAAAAGTCCATGTCGTAATAAAACTAAAGAATCAAAATCTATTATTCATTCTCCGAGTAAGTCTATATATTCACACTATATATATATATTTTTTTACTTCGATTCAAAATTTCTCAGTAATTATTTCGTAAATTAGCCTGTATGTAACATGTTCAACGGTTTTCAATAGTATATTGATTCAATGAAAATCAAATGAAATTAAACAACATATCAAACTTCTAATGATTACTTCTCAAAAAATCGCATGAATTTGGAGTTTATGATTGACATTTTTATTAAATGTTAAAAATCAATCTTTGACAACACACCATTATTTATGGTTAAACTGTGAGAATCACATTCTTTAGTCAACCAGTCAGTCAGTTACAACGTAGAACTTCGTACGCAGGACTGCCTTCTCAACTATATACTAAAAACAAGAAATAATATTTTTTTTTGCTCTGCTAAGCCGAACGTTATCGATTGTATCATTTACAGTGTCGAATTTACAAATGGATTTTCAAACATTGATCAGTTGCTTTTCCAGTCAAATGATGGCACATTGTTTTAACTAGAAATATTTGACTTTATGTCAAAATCAATTCAAACTAATCCAGTCAACGAAAAAATAGAAAGAAAAGTAGTTTTCAAAATGAACCCTTACTATAGTTATGTAATATTCTCTGAGTTCTAGTGGGAAGTCGTGACCAGTGAAGTTCAACCTGTTTGGGTGTAGACAGTAATTACCGAAGACAGTGTATGAGGTTGTGCAACTCCGTGAATTTATCGACGTCAGACATTACCACCGTTAGATACCGTCTCAGTGGTCCAAAGGTTAGGTGTTCGCGCGCAAGATTGAAGGTCCTGGTCTCGAATCCTGCGAGGTGCAGGAGTCGTGGATGCGCACTGCTGATGAGTCCCATACCAGGACGAAACGGCCGTCCAGTGCTTCCAGGTTTCTAATAGTGGTCTAACATTGATCGATTCATGATTTCAAATATTTTAATCGCCCATCACTCATAACTCTGACAATGTTCTATGTGTAACCATGTGATACATATATTTCTTAATCTCATCATAGTCGAATTAGTAATGGATTCGCTGTAGTAGTTATTTGTCCTGATACTTGATATGACCATGCTATTTTTTTAACGAATTCCGTGTAAACTTTCAGTTAGTTAATCAGTTTCCGCTAATAACTGCTATCTTAATATTTTCCGGCGGTTATTTTAAACTGGAAATGGCACTTTTCCGTTTTTTGTGGCTAGTTTTAGTAATATAACAATCAAATCATGATTACTGAATCAAATTAAAGAAAATTCGTCCTATATATTCTTCATTTATTCATGAGTGTCGAGTAAAATGATAATAAAAGCATGCTGATGTTCATAAGCTACTTTTTTTTGTGATGATGATTCTATTAGCACAATAACTGTAATTACTTATTTCTGTAGTTGGATAAGTTAAACAAAAAATAAATATTTAAGTGATAAAAGAATGCAAAGTTGTGAAATTTTAACTTTTTTTATGACATCACATAATATTACTGACTGAGAGTAGGCAACTCATAATTAAGGTATACTGGCTTAGGTGATGAAAAGTTGTACTATATCTGTCCAATTACTTAGATACAGGATGGTTGATATCAGAAATGGGAAGTAGTGTACTGTTGGGTTATAAAATAATACTTCCTTTATTCCAGACCATTAATTCACTATTTTGAGAAATAGATGCTTGTTGTTAATAAATATATCGATCACTGCTGGTTATAAGCATTACCTAAAGACTTTCCAATTGATGTTGAACTACCAATAATCGAAGACATCTGTATGGCTACCAGAAAGATTAATGGTGGTTAGTCAACGGAACCAGACAACATTCTAGCTGAAGCACTGAAAGCAGACATAACAGTAACTGCTAAGATACTACACATTCTTTTCAGTAAGATTTGTGAGGAAAAACAAGTACCTACAGACTGGAAAGGTGGACACTTCATCAAGATATCAAGGGAAGGAGATCTCAGCAAGTGTGAGAATTATAGAGGCATCACTCTATTCTCAACAGAGCGTTGTCAAAACGAATGGAAGATCGAGACCAACAGGCTCGATTCAGTAATGATCGATCATAACCGACTGAATTACGACACCACAGATCATTATGCAACAATCAATTGAATATAATTCACCACTATACATCAAATTCCTTGACTATGAAAAAGTATTAGCTAGCATGGATAGGATGATAGGATAGGATGATGATAGGATGATGATAGGATGATACGGAACTCATGATGAATTAAACTGAAAATCATGCATACAGTGCAGCCCACAGACTCATTTCAAGCGAAGACCGGTGTCTGATAAAGCTGTGTACCCTCACCCTTTCTCTTTCTCCTGGTGGTCGACTTAATTATGAAGACGTCAACACCTCGGGGGGGGGAGCACGGGATACAGTGGACAGCTTGATGCAGCCTGACGATCTAAATTTCGCAGATGAACTAGCTGTTCTATCTCACACACAAAAACAAATGCCCGAGCAGATAGCCTGTGTAGCAACAGTCTCTGCAGCATCAAGCCTCAACATACATAAAGGAAAAAGCAAGATACCTCGATAAAATACATGTACGAACGAAATCACACGTGATGGAAAAGCTTTGGAAGATGTAGAAACACTTACATATCTGGACGTCCTCATTGACGAGTAAGATGGATCTGATGCAGATGTGAAGGCGTGTATTGGCAAAGCTTGGAGAGCATTTCTACAATTTAAAAACATCTGGAACTCAAAAGAACTATCGGCAATCACCAAAGTCAGAATTTTCAATACATATGTCAAGACAGTTCTACTGTATGGAGCGGAAACTTGGAAAGCTAACAAAGCCATCATCCAGAAGATACAAGCATTTATCGACAGCTGTCTACGCAAAATACTTCGGATCCATTGACCAAACAATTTCAGCAACAACCTACTGTGGGAAAGAACAAATCAGATTCCAGCGGAGGAGGAAATCAGAAAGAAGCGCTGGAAGTGTGTGGGATACACACTGCGGAAAGCACCCGACTACGTCACAAGATAAGCCCTCACTTGGAACCCTCAAGGGTAAAGGAAAAAAGGCCAAGGAACACATTACGCCGAAAAATGGAGACAGAAATGAGAAGAATGAGCAATAATTGGACAGAATCGGGAAGGGAAGCCCAGGACAGATTAGATTGGAGAATACTGGTTGGCGGCCTATCCTCCATTGGGGGTAACAGGCCTAAGGAAAAGTAAAAAAGCTGCTGGTTATCAATACTAACTAGAATGACTTAAATCAATACAAGTGATTATTTTATGCAGTTAAGTTCTTTTGAAAATAATTTTATTCTTATTTTGTTTTATTTCCATAAGTAGAAAATATCACAGTCTGTAACAGCAGTTGTTATTCATATTTCCATAACTAGACATAAAATAAATCTTTTTCATTATGTAAATGAATGACACTTTGGATTCTATCCTTAGGTCCACGTATAATTCCCCTTGAGCCTGTCCAAATTACATGTGAATTACCCCAGGATTCATCATCATTAGAAAGAGTTAGTTCTCCAAAACGTCTAAAGTCCAACTCTTCTAAATCAAACAAAATGAATAAAACTGAAGTTAATAAAGGTAGGCAATGGTAGTATTTTGAATTACTTACTTTTTATTTTATCTCTCACTATTTTAAGGAAACAGTTTGTGTGAACTCAGTGTTAACATATTTAGATTTCCTTGATAGATTTTTAACCAATATGTCGTAAACAATGTTAGCTTAACACAAATATCCATCAGCACACCGAGTAAGTAGATTAACATGATGAGAAGCAACAAATAATATGGCAAATTAAGCATATCTATTTTGAGCAAAACAAATCAAATCCGGGATAAAAAGTATACAGTTTTCGAAAAAACTCAAATTTTCCTATCTGTGAGATCTTCATTTGAAACAACTTCGGTTAATAGTCACCGACTCTATATTATGATAATACCATTTCTAGGTTTTGGTTATCCCTTACTTTTTTTCAACCATCTTTATATCCTAGTCAGTATTAGAAATGAGAGAAAATGGTGTCTTGTTATGCATATCATATGTTTAACTCATCTCACTTGATATAACTGCATAGCCTTAATAGTTTTGGGTGTACCTCAATCTAATTTACAAGGTGGTTGAGTTGATTAATTCAAAAACAGTATGATCAAGAGACTTTTTATGCAAAAACTATCTGAGTTTATGACAAGTTTGATGATAGATTTTATTTTTTTTTACTCAATTTTATCTTATCACTACACTTTTTGTATTTCTGTTGTAGAATCGAATGTAAATTCAATTAAAGCGTATTCATATTCTTCTTTAAGATTGGGAAATAAATGTCTGTTAGTTCAATTCTACGATACAATATGGTTGAATAATGAAAGTTGTCAAGCATGTAATACAATACCGTCTTGTGAACTCTGTCCACTTTGGCCTTCATGTAACACTCGGAATCGGACATGTAACAACGTAGATGATGAATCTATGAAAAATCATTTGAAAGTAGGTATACCGTAAAAATTCTTACTTTAAAAGTTTTAATTGAAGGAATGTCCTAGACAAGGCAAATGCTATTGGACATATACTGTGTTCGTCACCGTTTATATGATTATCTGTATTATATTTCTAAGTATGTGCCAATCCGATACTGAATGTAATTTATTCGGAATGACCTCTGTTTCCTAACCTTCAACGTTTTACACTTAATCATTTCTATTTAGATAACTTAAGATTTTTGTATAAATTATACTCGATAATGAAAGGTGAGTACCGAATACGTATGTGAGTAATGAATACAACTGTTAATGAATGAACAATGAATTCTTCTGTTAATCTTAACCTTAATTACTTCAAAAGTAAAAGGTGTAACCCTGATTAATTTACTTTAAAACAATTAGTCCCTTTTATAAATTTTTTTTTTTCAGATCAACTACGTCTTCTCGCTGTTCTATCATAATTTACTTTAGATGCATAGAAAGAAATACAGCTATTTTACCTCGTTATAGTATCTTCGAAAAAAATGTGTAGTTTATTAACCTTAATAACGAAACTGATTTAACTTGAACACTTGAACATCTATGATTCATTAATTTAACAAGGAAATTTTACCTGTTAGAGATGTGGAATTTTCAAATATAATATCGATTTTAAGTGGATTTAAAGTCAATTTTCAACTCATTTCACGTTACATAAATTTATCTTAATATGAATTCTCTTCATAAACTTTCCATATATTTTTAACTGTAATGGTTATTGAGTTCATAATATTTTGTAAATTGTAAATATTTAGTTGATATATATATGATTAACTTGAATGTAATTGTATCCTTCATACTGCATGTAATTTAGTTAACTCCACCTGTAGACCCTTCGGGGCTACCACCAGTCTGGGGCCCGGACAATGAAGGAGGGTTGCGCTAGGAGTTGGCGACTCCATCCCAGAAAAAAACTAACTTGCCAAAAAAACGCTAACAAGAATTGATAATTCAAACCATATAAACTCTGTTTTGGGAGTTAGAAGGTCTTCATTTAGGAGAATTATGACGTCTCATGATGAAAGCCGAGTTCTTTCGAAAGTCATGAAGCCGATACTCCTGACAACCAGAACTTTTCCACGGTGTGGGCAACGGGGACGTAATATCCGCCCTCATACCCATAAAAGCACACGAGACCAAATTGTTCACAATGAAATCCTGTGCTAATATTATGGTATGGCAACTTGAACTGATGTACGTACGTACGAAGTTCTATGTTGCTGTTCGTTGGGTATAACTTACTTAATGTTTGCTACTGACTAAATGTTAACGTATACTTTCATGTTGTTTATCATTTTTTTCCCCTACTTTAATACAAATAACAAGTTTCATAGTTTTGATTAAGTTTTTCTTTTTCATATTTTCTATGATTTATTTTTGTTTGTTAATTTGTGTATGTCATACATTGTGTTTTAGCCTATTTGCATTCAAATCAAACCGGAGTATTTAGGTGATTGGGGCTGTGAAATACTGGAAAATCAAGAATTAGAACTCTCTTGGTTAGGTTCATGCATAAGAAATAATTCAGATATTTTAAGAAGTGAGTTCAGTAATTATATGATACTTATTTATTATATATGTACCTGTAAACATTAAACTGACGAATCACAAATAGAACAAAATGCGTGTCATGTAATTCACTACTAGCGTTTCATCCAACTTTAATCCAAATAAGTAATATTTTTTTGATAGTTCTGGTTTAATTTTTGGTTTTATTGACTATTTAATGTAATGTTTGAAGGAATTATGTTGACTATTTTTCATCTTATGATTTAAAGTACAGCAATGATTCTGAATTATTGGTTTATGTTTTCTCTCTCTTTATATTTCCCTCGTTTGTTTTTGGTGTCTTTATTGGACACCACTTATTAATCCTCAGTTGGCTAGATAATGCCCCATCGGTTTTATTCTGTAACTTTTGACGTTACTTTGTCGTTTCATTTTGAAGTTTCGTTTTTCTATTTTTGGTAGCATTTATTCTGTCAACTTATCATCTTTGTTTACAGTAGGTTTCCTTAAAATATTTAATGTTCTCACTAGATATAACTGTGCGTTATTTCCAAATTTATAATACGCCTCAAATTTTTATTACAATTTACATATTCGACGAGAAAATTGTTTCCTTTAACTGTGTTTTTGACGGTATGTATAACATCAGAATAATCTTATGATTTGAGATTTGGGAATTCTGAGTATTTTTCTTGTTCTCTTTCCAAGGAGTTCTCAAATTGTGATTTTTCTTATGATCACTATTACACTATATTATAGCATCTCACCATTTATACATTGTATTTTAATGATAAGTCGTTTAAATTATTCGATAACTGTATCAACCATTTTTTTATATTCGCAATAATTCGATTACAGTATCCATTACTGTATATCTCGTTGTGTGTGGATGCTTACTCGCTCATTGTATGTTAAGTCTATCATCGATTGACAATGAATACTTAGTCATTCTTCAGCTCATGGAGAGTTGGCACACTCGCCCTCTCTAATTCGCTTCATTTTGCTTGTACACTTTCCATTCTCATGTGTGTCTGCTCAAATGAATGCATGAACTAAATTCACCTGCGAAACCGTTTTTGACTTCTTATTACCACTGTCGCACAAACGTGGTTTGCCTAAATATGATATACGGAAATGGACAGGAAGATTTATTTGATTGCACACTCAATGATTCGTCCACACTGGAGCCGCTAAAGTATATTGTTTGGTTCGAGTTCCTAAGTATTGTTTATTGAAATGTTTTAGTGCAGCTAAATAACTAACTAAACCTGGTCAAGGATTTGTATTACCCTTCACTACGTTTTGCACAATTATTCCAAATGTTCTCGAATGTTAAAATATTACTCATGTCATTGAATTGCTCTAATTTTTTTAAATCATCTTTCTTTCTTAAACATCTATTTTTAAATTTATAACATATGAATATTACAATTATCGCTCTGTTCTCACATTGATTGCGTTTCAAAGCATTCGTGATGATTAAACAATTTTCTTCTTGTAACAGCTTTCATAATTACAAGTCTAATTTATATTCTGTATTAAAAGAACAATGACGTTATCCGCAAAAAAGTGGAGCTTAGATATTTCACTAAGCAGTCTAGTTTCCTGAAAAAAACAGCATATATTATCCTATGCATAACCTCATTACTCATCTAATAATTGTTAGTTATAACGGAAAAAAATATCATCAAAAAATAGTTATATCTATCTATCTATCTATCTATCTATATATATATATATATATATATATATATATATATATGTATACGTTCTATGTATACGTTTCTTTAACTCTTTTCATTTTCGCCAGTTCGTTTACATGCAAACTCTGGTAAAATTATTTTGGCAGAATATCAATCTATGGAAGAAATGTTAAAAACATATCTTCAATTTAAGTAAGCTTAATGGTTGAATATTTGTCTTATTCGTTTATTTTTTTTAATCTAGAATTCATATTCGTAATTTACAAAATAATAATAATAATAATATTAATAAGTATTATTTATTTATTATTTGCGTATCTGTTGAATTTTGTAACATTTTCCGCTGAATATTTTCTATTCTATTCGGCTTATTGAGGTCATTTGTACAAATTTTAATGTTCATTGATGAGTTGATAGCTTTTACATAAACCCCAAAAAATTTGTTGTGCATATATATGTATATATGACTGGTTGAATTTTAGATTTTTTCTTATAAATTTCATCCAACAACTGACAATTAAAAGAACACTACACTGGTAAAAAGATCCTAGTTAATACAAGTATAATAATAATGATAATAATTAAAATAAACAAATATTATGTGTAATTTGGAAAATGTAAATTAATCTACACTTTGTTTATCTGTGCAATTGGGAATGATCAAAACACAGAATTTTTTTTTATTTGTTCCATGTGTCAAGTTGTTTACAGTTTGCTAAAAAAAATTTTCTTTCACAAGAAATAACACTATCAAAATATTTGAAATATGAGCTAAAATTTTATATTAGCTTATTATGAGTGTTATTGACTAAATTAACTGAGACATCTGTATCGCGGATGTTCAACTATCATTTTCAAATAAATTTGTTTTTTTTTCAAAGTTGGGAGTAGAATTTCATCAGTTTATAAGCTGTTACGTAAAAACATTATAAATTTTTATGTGAATGAATTTACTATTTGTGTATGATTAAAAAGCAACTAATTTTATAATAATTCGCTCTTGACTACTTACTATGGACTGATCTCCTTACTTATATAATTCAAGTGATACTAGCCGGGTTGAGCATGAGAAGAGTAATTATTGATGACTTTAGGTCGTGGATGTTTAGCGGCTCACGACTTGACTCTTGTGTGGACGAATCATCGAGTGTGCAATGAAACAAATCTTCCCGTCTATTTCCGTATATCATACTTGGGTAAAACCCCGTTGGTGCGATGGCTGCAGTAAGAAGCCAGATACGGTATTGCAGATTAATTTATTTTTTGCATTCAGCTATGCAGACAGACATGAGATTGGAAAGCATACAAGCAAAAAGAAACGAATTGGAGAAGGCAAGTGAGCCAACTGTCATGTGCTGAAGAGATGACTAAGTGTTTATAGTTAGGCAATAATAGGCTAGACATGTAATAAGCAAGTAAGCATCCACACACAACGAGATATACAGTAATGGATACTGTAATCGAATTATTGCGAATATAAAAAATGGTTGATACAATTATTGAATAATTTAAACAACTAATCATTGCAGTATAATGAATGAATGGCGAGGTGCTACAGATGCACTATATCTCGAATTAATTTAGTAGGTAGAGTAGCATTATGATTAGCATAAAATATCGAAACCTCACGTTCGTTTTTATAGAAATTGTGTGAGTACGTTAATAAAGAATTCTAAACCAGTCTATTTCATTTTCAGGCATTTCGTAACTGATATCTGCTTAATACAAGAGTCTTACTCGTATTTTCCGATTTATTTTTGCACTAGACTTTTCTTGTAAAAGTAGCAAAAATGTTACGAAAAGAAATTAACATTGAAATGATCTTTTGTATGCCAATTTCATGATCTGGTCTGCTATTCAAATAGATGTATTTACTTTTAAGTATAAAGCTTGGTATTTCCCCTCTTCCGAAACACTATACTCTATTGATTCCAATCGTTTCCTATCAACTGCTCATTGTTTTCGTTTATAAAAACCCATTAGGTTCTTTTTATTTATCTTGATGTCATTTTTACTAGTCAAACTGCATCGCGTTCTCTATTATTCTTCCTTTTTTGACCATTGCATTCAATGATATTTGAGTTTTAAAAAGAGTTAACGAAGAAATTCGATGTTTTATTTGTTAATCCTCATTATTAAGGTGATATTTATATCCTCGAAAACATTCATACTGATTTTAGACGTTTACGTACATTTCTTTATTTATAGATATTAATAGAACACTTTTTTCATTTTCCGACCAAAGTAAGGCGATGATTTCAGTTTCTTAAAAAAAAAACAGTTTAGCATCAATAGTTGGCTGAATTTAGTGCTTCGAAAGTTAAATTACACTTTCGTCACAATGGATTTTGCTTTGAGCCTAATTCTAACTCTAAATAAATTGATTGCATACTACTGACGAGTAGTACATTAAGTTAATTTAAATCAATTGTGTATAGCATACTTCGAAATTTTTCAACTTAAATAATTATAATTACTATTTTACTACGTCATATAAAATAACTAAACTCTCTTATACGTTCTAAGTATTATCTTATTTCTAGTTCACAGGTTTTTATTTTCATAGATAATTTGATAAATTGATATTTGTTTTGTAATTTGCTCATTTTTCATCATTATTTGCCATTATTATTGTTATTATTATTGTTATTATTATTTTTGTTGTAGACCACAAGATAATATAAACAGATTATCTGGATTACTGGATCAACTTTTCAAGTAGGTTAACTACTTTGATTATTGACTTTTGATTGTCTTATTTTTTAAAAAAAAAAATTATATTTGAAGTGTATTGATGATCGTCAAGTGCATGGTATACCTTTACTGTTTAGATTGTAAACCATATATATATATATATTGCTGTAGTTATTTACGTACCGATTTTTCCGTTAACTAGCATTTAGCTTATCAAATATATATCTAGTTCGGTTACATTAACTGAAATTGTTTTTATTGATCATTCGGACGTCGATCAATCAAATGGTTAAAGTTTGGGACTGTTTATTTACTCATATTATGATGGTCGATCTACTTTTTCGCATTATACACTATTTATTGTTGAGTTTACGCTAACAAATTATATTTCCGTGATTTTAATCGTAATTTTTGGTCTTCCTGTTCAAACAATTATTGATCAGGTGACTTTTGTTTTATAGATGATAATATTGAACTTTATGTTGTATCTTGTTCTCATTTATATGCAGTGATATGGAAGCTCTCACAAAACTTGTTGAACAAAGTTAATATTGTTTGAAAAAATTCCTTACTTATGTTACTTCGTAGGGTCGGATCATATATGATGAACAATTAGGTTGTGTGTAAAAGTTACCTTGAAATTTATCTTTGGTACTTTGGCAACTCTTCTCAATGTACATTTGTGCTAGATTCTATGTGACTTTATGACTGGCTGACTAAGTGAATTTCGCTTTCATAATTTATGTCAATATTTTACTGTTTAACCATACCCGACCGTAGCTGCTACCTTTACGTGGTGGTCGGGCTTGACTATCGTGATGACCCAGCCAAGCTATACTGGCTGGAACATATGTTCCTGAGGGTTCTACCATGCCAGGCAGGTCGATTGGAGAGCGATGAGACTAAAAGCAGCTACTTCAGGTCTGAGGGCGAAGTCGTACTGCTGACTGCAGAGGGCTGTGACAGCAGTAATGTGTTTCCCTCGGACAACCAGCATCTGCAGCGATGCTGCCTTCTCACAAGAAAGGAAGGGTTAGAAAAGGTCGACCCTAGAAATGTCACACCTCACCCTACCTCACGGATTTCCGTCTCCTTGGGTAAGGTTGCCCACTAAGGGCTTTCAAGAGCGGCGCTAATACTCATAAAACCCTTCAAAAAAGGCCGTGCGTGACCGGCCTCAAGCAGTTGTCCCTTGGACTCTGCGGTCACGCACCCAGGGAAGTGACAACCGCCCTCATACCCGTAACAGCACACGAGACCAAATTGGTCAAAATCAAATCGTTCCTACACCCCCTAGTACCTCTCTTATCTCTTCTCACATTCCTTTATCACAGTGCACAGCTAATGCAAACAATGCGAGTTCACGAATCGTCATTTCTGGTCTCCTTAAACCCCGCTCTAGACTACATGTCTGTCATTTAGTCAGTAGAGAATCATTGATATTTCTAGCCAACTTTTTAATAAAAAAAATTTGACTGATACAAATTTATGCAACTAATTTCTTGGCACTTGACTTACGTAAACTATTTATTTTATGTTATCGTAAAACAATTCTCATTTCTAAATAATGAAGAAATTAATTTCAAATTAAAGAAAGTACCAATCTCTTGTTAGTTAACTTTACATTAATAACTGAACATTAAATATAATCTAATTAGTTTTATTATCGATAATGAAAAAATAAACTATTAATCATTCATTTGACAGAATTTATGACATTTCCAGTTATTTATAAGACTGGATACAATACATGATGGAATTCATTTAACTATAACAGACACTCAGAATAATAATTGCACACAATATCTTAAAATTTATTATTTTCATAAGTAAATTGTAATATTATTATTATTATTATTATTATTACCCCCCACCCCTATTCATCTTCATTATTAATTTAAATTCGATTTAGAAAGAGATGTTAGTAGTGTGCATCAATTTGACAAGTTTTCATTGTGAAACTTTGCCTATATTTCTTTTTCAGAAATCCTTTGACAAATATCTCTCAAAATTCTTTGTATATATATATATATATCCCATAAATTATTCAGTTAACCTTTAAAAAATTTCCTTTATTCATCGACTTACATTCTTTTCGAAATATATATATATATATATTAATCGTGTGAAACTAACTGTCAAAAATATTTTCAGAATTTAAAGTTTCTCAATATGTTAGTTAGTACGTTCATTGAAATATATAATTGTCGAATTTTCAACACTGTCATTCACTTTCGTCATAGTGTTGTTACAATAAAACATTCTAGGAAAAAAAAACCCCTGAGAATTTGTTTGTCTCTCTTTGCATTTCCAAATATGGGCGACAGTAAAAAATCAATTTGCTTAGATGAGAAAATCGTAATTGGATGTGAAGAAATCATTCCATTTGATTTTAATTCAATAAAAGTTATTTATTGTGTTAGTTAAATTTGAGTTTTGTTTGTTGAAGAAAAAATGGTATTTTTCAGGTCAGATAATTGTATCTCACACTAAAGAGAAAAATAACGAGATATGGAGTAAATGAATGAGGGAATCATGTCAACTTGATTGAATAATAAATTAAATTTTTATTGATATGGTCAAAATGAATGTGAAAGTAGATCGCTAAAATGACGGAATGATACGAAATTTAGGATTTAAAAAAAGAGTAAAGAATAAATATACCTGTACTACTTTGAGGTATAACACGTTAGACTACTAGATTTCTGTGCTTGCTTCCACTTTGTTTACAAGTGACTGATTGGTCAGTCAGTCAATCGCTTACAAAGTTGAACTTCGTACGTACGTACATCAGTTCACGTAGCCATACCACGTTAGTACAGTGATGCAAGTGTAGATTCAAATCCCATAGTGGCAGAGATAGTAGAAGTATAACTTGTTTTCTGAAAGAGTAGGGTTCGAATATTTTATTCAAGGAATTGGTATAATGATAGGTTTAATAATGCTCTTGCTCTCAAAAAATGTTATCTTTTATTGACTAACATCTAAATATACTTTTCATTTACAGAAATAATACTTATTTTCCGTATATTCACAAATTATTATTTTTGTTTCAATGAACTAGGAACGAACCTATACTGAACATTAATCATTTGTTTCAGGCCACCCAACATTGCAATTTACTTTTATGTTAAGCTTTAAATATTTGAAAATTGAATAAATAAATTCATAGAAACATTTGTTCAAGTTAAATCATCATTATCGACTAGGATAATATCGTTTTATATGGAAATATTTATTGAATATTGAATATTTACCAATTTCAATGTGTGTTCAATGCATCGAATTTTTTGTTTGTTTGTTTTTTCTTCCAATTCGTTTCATCTGTCAATTATTGATAAAAAACTTGATTGTTTTATTTGGCTTCATATGAATTATTGAACAATATATTTGTGTATATATATTATATATATTTTATAGGCGACATTAATTAATTTTAGTGTCATGAAATAATAATATAAAAACTAATAATTAAATTTTTTTGTTTTGAATAGATTTTTTTCTTCTCCTAGTTTTGCAGTTATAATTTTTGTTTCAATATTCGGGAATTTGTCTCATCATTCAATGTTTAATAACATATCTATTTGTATTATATACCTCTACTGTTCATTGGCAATTATAAATTAAACGAATAAAAATTCAATGCCATCACTAATCATGATTATGATAATAATAATAATTATTATTATTTCAATAGAATTTTGTAAAATGCAAAGTAATCATACAGTTGGTTGAATATTAGTCTGCAAATCGAAAACCCATTTGATATGTTATCATGTGAGATTGTTTAGGATACAAAAATTGTTTTTATTGAATGTTTATTTAAAGGGAAATTGTAATCAAACTAGGTAGGGATAGCAAATCATTAGATGAAGTATTGGAACTTCATCAGTTGAGGTGGTTAGGACATGTGTTACGAATGCCCAACCACTAATTGCCTCGACGTGCGATGTTTTGTGGTGTTGGAGAAGGTTGGAAGAAAGCTAGGGGCAGCCAAACCAAAACATGGTAGAAATCCATGAAGTCATTGACAAGTGAACTGAACCATGTTGGTGAGTGTAGACTACCTGGTTGGGATCAGCGAGATGGTAGTAGAGACCTTGAACGACATGGCTCAAAATCGTTTGCAATGGCTCAGGTGCATCCACTCTTTGTGTTCTCTCAAATTCTAATCTTGAGAACTACTCATCATTTCTTTCTCTTTCTAAAGTTATCTCACTGAAATATACTTGAATGATATCTCCGAACCCTAATCTTCTCCATTACCGCTAATGCTTCTACTATCTCTACCACTATGGGATTTGAACTAACAGTTCCATCTCTCTGTGCTAATGTGGTATGAAAATATGAACTGATGTACTTACGTACGAAGTTCAACGTTGTAACTGACTGATCCAAACTTTAGTCGTGTATCGTGCTGGTTTGATAAGTTTTATAAAAATAGTCAATTTTACAATTCTAGAATTTAAAGTCAAGTTATATTCTAGACAAAGAATGTATTTTATGTATTAAACATATCAATAAGTAATTTGTACTCTTATTGTTATACTCATAAATAATATTGTGAAAATGAGAAAAAGACAGTATGCAAGGTATTGAGCTTTTGTCTTTCTTTGAAGTGAATAGTTTACTTGCGAAGTTTTTAATTGTTCTATTCTTGTTAATTTGTATCTAATTGAAAATGATATTGCCGCCCACTTATATATGTTCTTCTAATTTTCACAATGGGGATCTTTAAGATTTTTTATCAGTCATTTTCGGAAATTGTCACAACCTGATACAATGTGCTTTTGTGCACAGTACCTTGTTGATACATCTGGTGGTTATTTTTTGATGTCAGATAATTTTTTGAACGCAAAGCTTTCTAGTTGGTGGGACTATGATTAATCAGTTGAGTTACAAATATTTGCCAATAACTAATAGTGCTGTTAACAAATAAACAAGAAACATTATATATCTGTATCACAATCAGTGTACTAAAAGAATCTGTAAGGATTTCCTGGTAGCTGTTCTAGTTTGGCAAACATCTCTTCTAAACTTCATTATTTCCTAGTTCTTTAAATTTTAAACACTTGCAATGCGGTAAATTAAAGACTGATTACTAATGAATACATTAAAACACTTCAGTGGTTTTTCATGCCTTACTTCAATGTAACAAACTATTTTCTGTTACAGTTCTACCAATACTAGAAGGATAATAAATGTCACAGCAGAAATGATTTCTGATTACTATAACGAATTGATGTAAAAATTGAAAATCTATGTCAGTTGATAGTAATTCAGTGGTACAGGTGCATTCATTCTCTGTGTTCTCACAAATCCTAAACTTCAGAGTTCCTCATCACCTTTATCTTTTTCTTTCTAAGTTTATTTCACTAGATTCTATTTCTTGAATAACATCCTCGAACCCTAAAATCTCTGATTACTTCTCATACTTCTACTACTCCTACCACTATGAGATTTGAATCGAAAATCGACTCTCTGTGCTAATGTGGTATGGCAACTTAAACTGATGTACTTAAGTACGAAGTTCTACGTTGCTGTTGATTGATTGTTTGACAATGATTTAAGGACAACAGTCTCTCCTCGATGCTTCCTTGTCCAATCCTTAAGGTCGTAGTTTGTGGAAATTCACTTCCAAGCTCATTGGTTTTTTTGATGGTGGTTATCGAACTTGAAATTAATTTGTGAATATAACGATCTTTTAATCTCGAACTGTTAGTAGCTAAACTTGTCGGAATTTCTTGTCAAACATAGTGTGTTTTTGTACAAGTCTAATTTATTATTAAACCACTTTTAACTATTGAATATACGTTCATCGATCATAATCAAACAGTTGAAATCATTCATTATTCTTTTTTTTTAAATCTTAGATTATTGATTTTATTGTAGATATATTACATTTTTTTTCAAAGTTATGTATTCATTACTACTCATTATTATTATGTTCTATTTTTTTGTTCAAGTTTACAACCCGGATCTTATTTACTAACACAAACCAAGTGTTCAACTGATGATTCGTTTGATATTTATCAATCTATTAATGATAATCCATCATCATATGAGTAAGCTTTTGTTATGAAAATATGATTATTTATCTAAAATATTGTTTTATTTCTGTTAAAGAAAGGACTTATCATGAATACTGTTATAGGCGGTCAAATATAAGTTGAACCCTTTAAAATCTATACTTCTGGAGTAGTAGTTATCTGCATTTGAATACGGAATTCTTTGTTATCATCGCGTTAAAACCTGCTGATTAAATACAGCACTAAGAGTCGAATGATCTTTGTAATTCCTGTTGTTAATTACACAGACTTAAATTTAATTAAATAAAAATTTGTAAATTGAAAATTAGATTCTTAATTTTAAACATTGAAAAAAAATGTAAAGATTTTTTTCCCTCGGGAAATGAATCGGAACAGTTTTTTTTTATTCAGACTGTGGTGGTTGGCTGGATGTCCTATTGTTGTTCGTTCGTTCACCAAAATATCGATTATATGAAATTTCACTTAGTTGTGATTTTAACAATTAATTTTTCAATGAAGTATACTTTTTGTATTTTTTGTGAAATCAGTATAACTAATATTTGATCGCCCGACATAGGTAATCTTTTTAACTGACAATATTGATACAGTGAGTGAGCCAATCAAAAGTTATCAGGTAGGAATTCCATGTCGTGTCATTTAACATTTGCGTCTCTGTGCTAATGTGGTATAGCAACCTGAACTTATGTACATACGTACGAAGTTCTACGTTGCAACTGACTCTCGTGCCAATAAAAAATTAACTGATAATAAGTAGACATTCTTGAGCAAGAAATCCTTTGTATTTTCAATGAGTATATATATATATATATATATATATATATATATATATATTTTATAGGTATATGCTAATTCATTTGATTCAATTTGGCCTAGTAAACGTCTTCATTCATTGGCAGTTTAAGGGCTCGTGTACAGAAAGTTTTGTGTATCAGTTTCTGACATAGCATGTTATAACAGCAACGACTGGTCTTATAAAATTGATCACTTTAAAATTATAATGATTATTATTATGTCTGCAAATTCAAGAAGTATTACTGTTGTCTATTATTCATAAAAGTCAACTTTAACTCAAGTGTTTATGAAGGCCATTAGCGGATCATATGATTCCTTTTTGTTTGATCAAATGTAATACCACTTTCAAAATGGTGGTATTGTTTCAAACTTCATCTTTAAATTTTAAACCTACCGTTAATAAATGCCTAATGCATGTTGTGTGTATGTGTATGCTTTTTCAAGTCTTCTTCTATTTCTCATAATCCAAATTAATCTTGAATACTCTCCTAATAAAATTGTTTAATCATTTATGAATTAAATTACTTGATACTCGTTTTTTACTAAGTTTTTTGAATAAAGCAACTTATTACACTTGTTGACATCTTAGCTCATTCCATTATGTTAGGTGTTTAAACAATACCGTTCAATAATTACTTTCAACAGTCATCTGACTTAAGCATTGAACAATTGAACTGTAGGTAAAATCTTTACTAATATATTCAATTATCCATTTTATTGCTAATAATAAAACATAATGTAGTATAAATTTTACAAATAAGAAATTTATTAATAACACAACTACGACGAAGCTGATAGCAACTGATGTACCCAAGAAACCAGTGTACCTACAGTTACCTTTCAAGGGTGATCATTGCATGAAAATTACAACCAAACTGCAGCTAATCTGAGGCTTATCACAACAACTCAATCGATCTCAGTTACCCCAATCAAGTCTCCAAGACCGATTCAGTCCAAATCCCACTGTATTTACCAATTGACATGTAACTGCGGAGAAAGTTACTTAGGTAGGACAGATCGCCGATTGGAAGACAGGATAGGGGAACATATTCCAAAATGGTTAATCAAATCCATGATTCATCAACCTAGCCCATCATCTCAAAATCGATCAAGAAACCCAGCCTCGTCCATTGCGAAACATCTAATGATGAGTGGTCATCAAATTGACCCAAAATCAGCCTTTAGAGTTGTGACATGTCATCGAAACCCACACACACTGTAACTACTCGAAGCTATCTTGATTGGTCGGAAAAGTCCAACTTTATGTGTTCAAAAACAACTGTATGTTGACCTTTGTTTACCACCATGGTTCTAGTGAGTGAATGTCATGCTAAATAAAAAATTTTGACCTTATCTTCAAAACTGTATTTACACACGAATAACATGTTGCTTGTATGTGACTGACGAGAAAGCACGAAATGGTACTATCTCACAAGATATGTCTTCTCATTTCTCTATTCAAATTTATCTAAGGGAACCACTGTTTTTGTATTACTAAAATAGAAATAAATTAATTAGAGAAATAAACTTTTTTTTCTCATTTGTTTTAGCATCTATTGCATTCCATATTTTGTTACATATCTATATTCATTATGACAAATTCACACACTTCAAGACAAAACTACACATCACACATAACAGTACCTGGTTTTCATCAATAATGTACTCAAAATATATATATATTGTAGTCTTTCATGTGGAAATCTATTTCTAACATGTAACACTAATTATCACCATAGTTAGAAATAATAATTATTGAAATTTGAACA